ATGTGTATATATATATATATATATATATAAAATGAATGTTTTAAAGGTTGCATATGTTTTCTTCCTTTTAAAAGTATATTAATATTTTTGCTAATATTTTCCTAATCCAATTTTGAGTTTAACTAACTTGGGATGATTTGAATGAAAAGTCACAAGTCATCACGTGGCAGTGCAAATTAAAGTGTTGTACAAATTTATGATTTAAAGAAAATGTTCTTTTATCAGATGAATTGCAGGGTGCACAGTCAGAGACTGAGGCTAAGCAAGAAATTCAGCAACTGCACAAGGAGCTGATTGAAGCCCAAGAGCTAGCTAGGACAAGTAAACAAAAATGCTTTGAACTTCAAGGTGAGACCCAGATCAACTTGGTTGTGTAGGGTATCTATTAAAATGGTATTTATCACGTAGTCTTAAAAGGGGCTCTGGATTTGCTGACTGTCTGTTAGATAAACTTGTTTCATAGCATTCACTTCTGCACACAATGTCAGAAACTTTTCCTTTTTTCCTAAACTCTATATATAGTCTGAGCTCTGACTTCTTGGTTCAAGATAAACCAACATCTTTTCATAGTATTGAGTACATACTTGAGCTCCATATATTTAATCCTTGTAAAATATATTCATCTACAGATACTGATTAATCTGTATTTCAGTCAGATAATGCACATAATTTAATGTATTCAGTGGTAGTTCCTCATCCTATCAGATAGGTAGCTGTATCGTTATCCTCAGCAAAACTGTGGGTTATTTTTGGCAGGAAATAGCATAGTCCATTTTAATTGCATATTGTTCAGTGTTCTTTATCGGATATACTTACAGCTTTTTTTCTCATCCCACACCAGTTTGCATTTAGCACACATAGAGTTTTTGGATCAGACAACAGATTATATTAATTTCAAATTAATTGTAATACTACCACAGTAATGGAATGATGTCTTAATATTAACTTTTTAATAAACTACTTACACAGTTACTAGTTTTGATAACTTACTGAAGTAATATGATTGTTTTAATCTTTTCAGTTAAGGGGAAGTTGTGACTCAAATAACTACACAGCTGAAGTACTTCTTACTAACAAAAACTTTTGGACACTTTTTCATTTTCAATTATAGCACTATTGGAAGAAGAGAGAAAAGCATATCGAGTGCAAGTTGAAGAATCTAACAAACAAATAAATGTTCTGCAAGGTAGGAAATTATTTTTTTCACCCCATTCTTTTAAGGAAAATATATAGATTTGACTGTTTCTGTGGCATCATAAGCACTAATAAAGGAAAATGTTACTTGAGTGTATGCTTTAAATGTGATTTCTTTCACCATATCTTTGAATTTTGTTGTGAAATGTTTCCTGTCAATTCCAATGGTTCTAATCATAATTCAGAAAATGCAAAAGACGTAATCTGTAACAGATGCCTCTTCTCCTTCCTCTCCAATCTCTCTCAGCTTTGAATGATCCAGTGCCTCTTACTGTAACTATTTTATCTTCAGAGCACTCAAAAGGTTTAGGGTTTTTTTGTGCTACTCAGTCTCGTCTCTTCTCTTCATTGGTAGAATGAATCCTCTTAAATAAATTTATAAGGTTTGCTTCGTGCAGAAATGTAAAATAGCCTATCGTGTATGTGACTACTGCACATTTACAATAAACTGTAAATGCTACAGAACAACTTTTAGTTCGGTATATTTGGTGCAACTGTCCCTTTCAATTCAAAATTAATCTTTTGCCTTGAAATATGCTTTTTGCAAAGTAGTAAAGTAACTTTTTCTTTGCTATGTGTTGAAACTGGAGTAGAAATTAGACTCTGTGCCTCAAATATTTATAGACATCACAAGTTAACTGCTGAACAGGCAAACGTTTTCAATGTAGCTTTGTGACTGGCTTGTCACAGAAGTTTTCTTGCTTTTCATCTTACCTCTGAATCCTGCAGTGCCCTTTACTTGTTTTGCTTACAATGAAATTAGATCTAAATCTTGGATTCAGATTTTGGAGAGTTGCTTTACTATCACACACAGAACACAACCCTCTCTCAGAAAACTTTGTCCAACCATAGTTGTTGTTTCTTTTGAGACTCTGTAATACATGACCTCATATAGATATCTCTTTAAGGATACAGCGTTTGACAAGATTAATATATTTTTCAATTGATTGAGATTCTTTAGTCCTATTATATGTCAACAAGTTGAGAAAGGGAGTTATGGTTTTAGATTTTCTGTAAATACAGTTATTAAAAATACTAACATTGACATATGCCTTCCAGCTCAGTTGCGAAGATTACAAGAAGATATTGAGAATCTTCGTGAGGCAAAGGAGAATGAAATTTCAAGCACTCGAAATGAACTAGTCAGTGCTCAAAATGAGATTCTGTCACTTCAGCAAAAAGCAGAAAAGGCAGCATCAGAACGAGATACAGATATTTCTGCGTTGCAAGATGAGCTGCAAACAGTGCGAGCGGAACTCGAACGGTGGCGGAAAGATGCCTCAGATTACGAAAAAGAAATTGTCAGTCTGCAAGCCAGTTTTCAGCAAAGATGTCAGCAGTGTGAGGATCAGCAGAAGGAAGAGGCTACTCGCTTAAAAGGTGCTTGATTAAAAGAATGTCACAGACCGGTGCTAACCGTCACATCCTTCTCAATCTGATGAATGTCATTATTCAGGTCACTGTTTATGTGTCCCGCTGCAGTCATTTGCTATGTCTGTATATATACATACACATTTGGGGGTGTTTGTAGACGTGTATCAAGGCCTGTAGTGTTACAAAAGCTGGTTTGTGTACTTCCTAAATAGTAATTGTCAGTTATGCCTAAATTAGCGTAGGTACCCTTTGATATTAAAAGTAGACCAAGTATAATTCCACTTAGAAAAGATGGAAAACTTGTACTGTTTGAGGGATTGATACTGCCACAGACTTCCAAAGAGACTTGCGTGACTTGCGTCATTTAAGCCTGTAAATGGGTGTAGCTTCACTCGAGACAAGCAACTGTGTTTTGTGGCTTAATAAAACTGTTGATACTATCTCATTTTTAACATAAAAATGTTAAAATAAATCTAAAATTCAAGCTTTACTCTGGACACGTGATGTAGAGATATACAAATAGGTTGTGCTCAGCCAGCATAGGGCTGCTTCTGGGCTCATTCATTTGCATTTCACTTCACGTGCGATGCACTCGCATCTCATGAGGACTGCTTGAGAGCCACTACTCCAGGCCCATAGCTTCAGGTCTTGGAGAATCTGCTAATAGAGTTCAAAAGCTCATGCTGAGACTTTGTGCATGCCACAGAGAAACTGGCATATGTAAAACATGCTTTAAATTCTGAATCAGTTAATCTTTGTGAAGTTGTGAGAGAAGCCTTTTTCCAATTTCAGCTCCAGTCTCTGTCATCACACTACCAAGACAGGCGTAACATTGATTTTTATCTGTTTTACCAGTGACTGATTTATTTCAAAGGTCTCATTTTCACCCTTTAGTTATTGCTTTAAACACTCTTTTCCTTGCGGTGGAGGCATGGTACTAGTGATTCTAGTTGTTTGCTATCTTCAAGCTTGGGAAATTGTTTTCTTCAAATACACTTTTCTGTTGCTGTTTCTAAAATACTTGAGTAGACTCATAAACAGACTGTTTTTTACCCCTTTGTGCCTTAGAAAAAACTCACATAAAAAAAGGCTCACAAACCTCATAACAGTAGAAGATATTTTGTGCCTTAGAAAAAACTCACATAAAAAAAAGGCTCACAAAGCTCATAACAGTAGAAGATACTATAATGTTTTATAAGTGCTTGTGAGAGAATTAATAGGACATTATTATAATCAAATATATTTGAGATTTATGACTGATACCAGCTTTTCCTCCATTTATTAGCTGGTGATATTTGAAGCAGTCATGAAATAACTTTACTTGGTTCAATTAACTTTTATTCATTGCAGGTGAACTTGAGAAGTTGAAGGCAGAGTGGAGTGCTCTGGAAGCTGAATGTGTTACACTAAGGAAGGAAAATACTTTGCTTACGTCTGAACTTCAGCGACAGGAGAAGGAGCTTTCTAGGTAAGGGCACAGTGGATTTGTCTAGGAAGACATCATAGTAGCTGAAGAGGCGTTTTTGTTGTTGTTTTTTCTTCCCAAAAGTGGTACTAAATGTCTAATGGTGTTTCAAGAAATATTTTTTGAAGTTTTATTTATATCATAGTATTGGGCAGAACACACTTTCATGCCAAATTCATATACCAAGCTATTTCTTTCTGTTTTGCAAATACTTCTATTTTACTTAGTGTCGTGTCTAAGTTCAAATCGTAAGGGGAGTTGCGGACCCCCCATCCCAGCTATGCTCCCTCCCAGCCTGTTGTGCTCCTGCACACTGGCAAGAACACGGCAGCTGAAAAGTCCTTGAGGTCTCAGTGCCAACTATAAACATCAGTGCGTTATCAGCGTTCTTCTCCTAACGAATCCCAGACTAAAACCAAAACAGAGTTCTTCTAGCTGCTAAAAAGAACTAACCCTGTCCCAGCTGAAACCAGGACACTTATCAGTGACGTTATAGTTTCATAGTGTAACCTGACTTATTTTGCTGCTTATAATGAGGACTTGGAAGGCATGCATTGTGGACTTAACAGTTATCCTTCTACTTAAAAGATAATATATGACAGATTTCCTAGCCTAAAATTTTCTTCATGTTCAGGGTGAAGAATGATTTTCAGATAGTATCGTGTCTCATGGAAGCCTGTCCCATGATAAATAGTGATGATGGGCAGAAACAGTATTTTATATCATGTTTTGCTTAACAGAAAAATACAAATTGTTTTATTGCAAGTGCCATATCTTTTGGGAAGGATTTTAGAGTGCAGGAGTATTTGTATTTTTACTGTATTTCTTTCGCTGTTCAAACATGTGACATTACTAAAGGCTGTCTAAATCTTCTACCTAGAAGTAATTTCCCCTCTTATCCCTTCAACTGCCATTATTACATTGTTTTTCCGTTTCAGATATTGAAATTTAATTCACGAAGTAAATGTGGGACAGAAACTTTGTTTTATTCTAGATTTGAATTTTACCATGATGCTTAAATATCTGGTTTTTAGGGTTTTTTTGTGTTGTGGGTTTTTTTTTCTGGCTTCCTCACTGTTGTAAGATCTAATTGAAAAAAATGGAAATTTCCCACAGTAAAACATTTCTGGAAGTAATGTGTTCTTTTACAGGGATCAAACCTTTCTTTTTGTTCCATCATGCCCTGATTTCCACTTGTATTTTATCATACGGAAGGTCATATGAGCAAATACAGGATTTGCATGACAGAGATTTGCAAGATCTCTCTCGATTTTCTTTGTCTTGCACAAGCATGAATTAACGCTTCTCAGTTATTACACTGAAGTCTGTAATGGCTTAATTTGGAGTTTTCTACAGCTATTACACAATTGTACTAAACAGTTGAAGAATATACTACCTATCAGTTTGTACGACTGGAGTAAGCAAAGTGTGTGTAAATAACTTCTAACAACCTGGGACAGACTTCTCATTACTAATGTGTTTCAAAATGCTTCGAAGTATATAATAAATACTTAGTGAATTATAAAAAGTAAAATGAGAAGCTGAAAATCACAAATGGTAACTTATTTAAATTTGTGTGTATAATTAATTAGAATCTATAAGCTGTGCACATGTATTTAAAAACAAGACTATGGCCAGCCTTTTGTGCGAGTACTTTGTGTAGGGAAACAATGGTGACTTATGATTGCTCTAAGCTAATACTTCCATGTTAAATACAAGTAATGTGTGGAGCTTGAAAGGATGAGAAGTGTTTTAAAAGAATATCTTGTTTCTTTAAATTTAAAACACATGAGGAATCAATTGGATTTTGTTTTTCAGCTCTCAGAAACAGAGTTTAGCGCTCACCAGCGATATAAGTGTTCTTGAAATGTCTCGAAAGGAACTCGAAAATCAGATGGGATCTTTGAGAGAAAAACATCAACAGGATGCAGCTAGTCTAAAAAGCCAACTCAGCGAAGCTGAGAGTCAAGCAAAAGATGTTCAGAAAGAGGTAACACGAAACGTTATTTCTATTTTGAGAGAATATATTGCCCAATGACTTTGACTTTTAAGCTAAAAGGAAAGGAAAAATGTAAGATTTCTAGAAATGAACATTTTTCATACTTTTATTGCAAGTACTTTTATGGTAGCTAATACTATATAAACTGGGGCTTGAATGCATGTTTCAGACAAGATAACTTGCATGTGTTTTGGGAACTTCCTAAAGTTTGCTTTCATGCGTTACCTTAGTGAATTTAATTTCAAGCTGCTCAAACAGGTAAACCCTTATTCAGAGTCTTCTTGAACATCATGCTGTAGACTTTTATTAGCTCTTACAAGGCGAAAATTATTTCTTTTTAGACAGTATGATCTTCCTAGTTAGCTTTAAACTCTTTTGACAATGAGACTACACGTTCTTTACAAAGGTCTCATTTTATCTTACTGGATCACTAGGCTGCTGAAGATGATTACCAAGTGTGTAAGGGAAAGCTAGCATTTTGAGCATACATTTCATCTGCCTAGCCCTCTAAAGATTATGTCTAGAAGAAGACCATAGCCTCCAACAATTACTTGATTTCTTTTATGAGCATATTAAGTGAAGTTTTCCCAAGTCATTGCTTTTAGTTTCTTTTGCAGTCCTTTGCTTTGCTTTGTCATGAATTCATCCATGTCACATTCCTTACCATTTTCAAAATTTGAAAAACCCAGTCTTGCTATTCTGTGGTAAGATGCCTAATCTTTTAAATTTGTGGTAAATGCCAGTACTGAAAGTCATTGATTCTGTCCTTACTAATCCCTGTCATGAGGACTACTAGAAGCTTGTGATCTATAGAAAAAATTGAATGTACAGCTGTTTGAAAAAGAAGCTGCCCATACTGTAGGAACATGACACACATTTCACCCAGTATTGTTTGTACTTGACCTACACCTCATGAGGATTATGGCATGATAGTAATAAGGCATAATATTTTTTTAATGCCTTACTTTTATGTTTGAGTTAGCTGTGTGGGAAGAGGGTTTGATTTATTTGATACAGAATGTTGGGTTTTGCACCTGTTAGTTTGGTGTAGATACTTAAGCTACAGCCTAGATGTAAGACCAGTATTTAAATTATTTAAATGTAAGGGACTCCTTGTTCCCCTGTTTCTTGTTTTGTCTTCATAGATTTTTATAGTCCATGCTGTTATGATCATGAGTAATTGTTTGGTAGGAGAGATGAATTAAGGCCTTGCATTTACTTCATATTTCCTTGGTTTTCGTAATCCTAGACCTTCCCTTTGTCAGGGACAAAAATCTTCATTTAGAAAAAAAAAGTTAACTGAAATTTTTCTACCCTGCTTTAATGAAAAGAGAGTGTACTGATGCAAGGTGAGTTACTCTAGGCAGATGACAGAAAAAGACACTGTGTGCTAAACAAATGTAAGCACATGTTGGGTGTCCAGAGGTCCGCAAACTGTTTTCTCTTTGTCTTTAGTATGAAAGAACACAGACTGTGCTCTCAGAGCTGAAGGCAAAGTATGAGATGGCTGAACAACAAAATCAGTCACTCACGGAAGAACTCAAACAATGTAAAGAAAACCTGAAGCTGCTACAAGAAAAAGGAAACAACGTAAGTCTGTACAAAATATATGGGGAAATTGAGTTATGACACTGGCAATTCTGTTGATTGAGGGAATATGTATCAAATAGAAAAGGATGGGCTTTAAAAAAAATAAGGAGGGGGCAAGAAAAAAGTTCTGTTTACCATATTATATGCAAAATTCCATTCTGGTACTACCTATGCAAATTCGCAGGTCATTACACTGTTACAATAATGCACGCAAGTTAAATTTACAGTTGTGTGACAGTTTGAAATACAGCCTTACATATCTGCTCTCTTGAAAACATCTGGCTTAAATACTAGTGAACCAGAACTAAGCAACTTTTTAATTTTGGAAAGTGATACATGGGTAAAAGCTGAGAAACCTGGATCCAAATGAATTAAGCAACTTTTTTCAAAATGCTTTTATTTTATTAGTGTTTATTACCATGGATGTTCCCTCCCTCTTCTTGCTTATGCTTCTTAACAATGGTTATCCCTGATCAGCTCATGCTTTAAACAGTGCAGTTGGACCATCCAACTGCAAAGACCATGAAAACATTCTTTTCCGATGCAATTAATTTGAGGGATTGTATCATTCAAATTGATAGGGACAGCAAGGACAACTTTTTTTATACTGAGACTTCTGAAATTCTCCAAATGTTTACAGTGTGGCAGACCCATTATAAAGTGGTCACAGCCTTATTTTAGATACCTTACTACACTGGGTTAGATGGTTTATTGTCTTCCTGTACTGCCTCTGTGATCACTGCGGGTTGCACAACTCCTGTAGTGGCCAGTACAAAACAGGAGGATAATGAATGCTCTGTGATAGCCTTATAGAAGACTCTTTGGCTATGAAGAAAGTTTTACAGGTACCGTCCTCTTCTAAAATCAGCTGTCTGCTAGGTGCTCGAAGTTTGTATGAATACTCTTGCCATAGTCAATTACTGGATGTAAACCTCTAACATAGTAGAGCTGTCAAAGATGTAAAGAATTCAAAGCCCTTCTCGCTTTTTTTCGGCCATGTTTTCAGGAATATGGTGTTACAGTTCTCGTGGAACCTGCTTTCTGCTTAGAACTTTTCTGCAATGCTCAGATAACAGTTGCTTAAGTAGGCAGAAGTCAAAAACAACCAGCCAGGTAACTCCCATTCTAGTAGAAGAGATCACACTAAATAAGTAATTGCGAATGTGAGGTTTTCTGCTCTGTTAAAAATGTTAACCTCGGGATTAAAATGATCAGTGGAAAAAGGGGGATAGTAGAGGGAAAAAACACTGAAGGGAATTGGAGTACCTGATGAAAGAGGAAAAGCTTGCAAGGTAAGGGGAATTTTAGGAAGAATTTGAGGTGAGTATTTAAATGAAACCAGGAACCACAGCAGTTGCCAAAATCTGCTTCCAGAGGAGGTGATAGTTACGACAGTTGAAACCTGAAGGTCAGGGTATGATGAAGAGCATCCAACTATATAAGGACCTGCAGGACAAGCTTGTTCAAGCAAGCGTTACTCACAAGCATTTACAGTAATGTAAAACATATCTATCTTGTGGATTATTAGAAGCATCATGGATACTGGGCTGAGTTCCAAGGTCAAATTTTTCAAGTAGCATTGTCTCCTTATGCTATAATCGTTATCTGCTACTTAATTTCCAAGGACAGTGTCCCACAGAAAGTGACTTCGCACCGTGGGGTTTCTCTTTTGTTGCAGCCCATCTTTATCTGAGTTTTCATACCTTTGTATTCTGAAACAAGGTGCACTTTTTTGATGAAGCACGTAGTTAAATGCTCCTTGACAATAAGCAGATTTGTTACAGATTGAGAAGTTTGTGAGGGGGAAAGTCTAATCGTTTGGAAGCAATTTCATTTAATGTGGTGGATATTTATCATCTGTTTCATTTGCCAAGATTCCACAACCATGAATGCATATAACTTCAAAAAGTGAAATAATAATAATAATAATAAACAAATGCATTGAATTGTTCAGTGACCTAACAAATGTTAGAAATATTGCCCAGAGATGATGTGGCTGCCCCATCCCTGGCAGTGTTCAAAGCCAGGTTGGATGAGGCTTTGAGCAACCTGGTCTAGTGGAAGATGTCCCTGCCCATGGCAGGGGAGTTGGAACTAGATGATCTTTGCGGTCCCTTCCTACCCAAACCATTTTATGACTCTATGAAAAGAGAAGGCTTCTGTACTCCGTTTGGGATATCATTTGAATATTAAGTTTTTACACTGAAGTGTTACTTTTAAACAAAAGTATTGTGTTCTGAAACGCTTGGCAGTGTGGTGTACTACTTGTGCTTGCATGCTTGAAGTCACTGATTATTTCTTGATGTGCTTTATATGACAGATTTGTTTATGTGAATGGTTTGAGAACATGAGCTGCTCTGGTTGTCTTAAACTTCTGGCACTTTTTTGAACACTGCTGTGATTATTTCTACCAACATGCATTCTGTGGGAAGGTGGCACTCTGATTTGTGGCACCAATGACACAAAAATAATCCTGCATGAAAATTACTTTAATAGTTACACATAATTTGTCTATTAAATATTTGCCTTGATTAAACCAAATTTGAATGGAATGGCAGAGACTAGAATACCTTTTAAGATTCCTGTTTTGAACCATATTGGAGGTTCTATGACTAAGTGACTTCTACAAACTCATAACAGGATGAGATTTTATTTATGAATCTCAATGTTTTAGAAAGTCTTCAAACATTAATTTGTTATGTATTTATTTGACTGAACAAAATCAAGGTGGCTTCAGCACAAAAAAGTTCTTTAGAAAGTATTTAGCATGGTTTGAACTTAACCTCTGCGTGTCTGTTTGTGTGCACACATATATAGGTGAGGATACAGAGAAAGCAGACGTCTTCCAAGGACAGCTTAAAAAGAAATTAGGTCCTTTTTTGCTTTCATTTTATCATATTAAGGATAGAGGCTGTCCATCCAGAATGTGCAGTAGTTCACAGTTAATTTAATGTAGCTAAGAAAATATGTAGGTAGTTCTAATGAGGCCATAAGCCTGAGGTCTTGCCAGCTGGTAGTTTGGCCCAACTGCAACATTTGATTGATTTTTAGAATTGCATTTGGTCAGAAGGCCGATGACTTGCCAGAGATGCTGCTCTTTGTGGTGTCTCTGATAGAAATGTACGTCCCTGCTTTATAGTAACTTAGTGCCGATTGTACAGTCATGTTGCAATCTCACGGAAATGTCTCAACTACTGAGTTTGCCTGTGGACATAGTTGCAATTGGTTCACTAATGGAAGAAAAAGATTGTTTTTCCTGGAGGCTGGTGATGGGAAAGGCAAACTTGCAAGGAATGAAGAAGTAGCTGAAAAATTCAGTATCTGGTGCAAGTCTTTCTGCCTTAGGAAGTCTCAACTGGATTTCTTATCACTTAGAGGAACTAAAACCAACTATAATAAGATACAGGCAGATCAGTTTAAGATTTGAATTGTTTTTAAGTGCTAAATTCCAAGTTGTGACAAGAGGTTTCTTAGAACATTTTCTGCTTACTTCCCTTTATTTTTAAACATCCCCGTTCATTTGAGTAGAATGGTGTACTAACTCTGTATACCAGATTAGATAATGCTGTGTTGTGTTAGATGTCTTTAATACATTTCAATTAAAACAAAACTCACTGACTTATTTTCCCCTCTCTAAATCATCTTTACCTGATTGATTTATAGCACAAAGTGATTTTTAATATCCCTTCCCTTCTTTAGCCTTCCATATTACAACCCGTCCCAGCCGTATTCATCGGCCTAATCCTGGCTTTCCTGTATTGGTGTTACGGCCCATTGTGGTAGCGAAAGGTACAAGCACTACTGTTCAGTCAATGTATGTTTGTCCCTCTCACCTGTTTGTGCCATTTCTGTATAAAATAGTGCATGGTGAAATGCTCACAGGTATTTCTTTACCTGAAGCAAACCCTTCATTTAGTATGCCATTCTGTTGATACTGAAGAGCTGAGCAATCAACTAATCATTTAACATCTGTGTGATTTCTGGAATTCTAATAATGAATTTCATTCTAACTGGTCCTGAATGTGCCTCTTCTAACTCCGTCTCAGTTTGTCTTTAGCGAATGGGCTACCTTTTGCACAATGCTGCGATGCTAGGGCCTGTAAAAACACTTAATTGCTTAATTAACTATGAAAAATGAAGAGTTTGCCTCTAATAATAAAAATCAACAAGCTTTTATTCCTATTTATGGACTAAGAAATTCCTCTCTGGCTCTAAAAACTTTAATTTTTTCTCACTATTGCTATGAAGATGAAAAAAAAAAGACAAGATGAGAAATAGGTGGTTGGTTTGTATTCTGAACTCTCAGCTTGCATTTTCTCTAACGTCTCTCAGTGTGTCCTCCTCCTAAAATGCTATTGTTGTCATGAAACGTTGTGACAATCATTTTGAAATGATGTTGTTAGGATCTGCTGCAAACTGACTTCATAGACCTGGATTTAAACATTCAAAAGCGAAGTTAAAGATGTCAGTACTGCATAAACCTGAGTCTAGCGATTACTTGGCACAAGTGATGTTTTAAATATCTTAAGCCCTCGCATGTTTAATAGCAGATTTCTTTGAGGTGCATACAGTAATGAAGCTGGAAATTCGGAACTGCCAAAAGTTCTCCTGGTGATCCTCAGTCGTGAAGAGTTGTGGAGTTCCCTTTGCTAGAGAAACATGGTTTACTGTGGTGCTCTAAGCCAGGACTAGCCTGCAGCAGGGCTCGTGGGTAACATTGTAGTGATGCCTATCAACAGGTACTCAGGACTTTCAGGAACCACGGGGTAAACTGATTAGTATGATTTAGAACAAATATGATATTGATTTTTTTTTTCTCTCCACACAGAGACAATGGCCTTGGATGCCTGTGATGGCAGCTTTGGTTGCTGTAACAGCCGTGGTGCTGTACCCAGGCCTAACCAGAGCTTCTCCATGAGAACTGTTGTTGAATCCATACACCGTCCTCCCTTTAGAAGCTGGCAACATTCATATACTGAGGGAAAACAGATTAATTCTCTTCCTTTTTACCTCTTAATACAGCACAGCTCTGCGTGAGAACAGCAGTAGGGTCATTTGCTTTAAACTGTATAAAATGTATCTGTCTGTAAAGAGGGAATAAAATTGTGATTCATCATACTGTGAGCAATATTTTTGCTTACAATTTCATGCAAGTTTTAAATTAGCATGTTGGGATTCTGAATACTATAATGGTGGCCTAAAGTAGGCTTCTTGGTACCAAATTATTTATAATGGCTAGGGTTGTGGACACTTACATTAGAATCTGATTGCCAGGTGTAAAAAGAAAAACACATTTCAGATTTGGATACCCAAGCCAAGTAACCTTGCAGATACTTGGAAAACAGATGCAGTATGCTCAGTGCCTTTCAGTATGACTTTTATTTTTATTTTTAAAAAATTAGTATACCATTTTACTTGCTGTTAGTCACTGAGCTGTTGGGAACAAGACTTAACAAAACTTCTCTTACCACGCCTTTTGAAGGAAGCATATTTTTCTTTGATAAGGATTGCTTTATTAATGATTTTTGGGAATAAACACAATTCATGTCCAGCCTTAAAGAGATAGAGATATTGATGGTGAAGACCAGCCTAGAGTATTTAGTGTGCGTGTGTGCGAGTGTAAGCATGTGTGTTCTTGAGTGAACTAAGGTATTTCTGGGAGCAAGTACTTGGTCATTTGATGGACACAGTGCAGTGATTCAACTTACGTTAACTTTAGTTTGAATGTAATTTATTAAATTTCATATATTTAAAGAGATGCGTTCTTTAAAAGTATGAATACTTTCTCACGTACCACATGTATCAACTTATTTTTTCAGTCATTTGATACTTTCTGACTTGAGCTGGAGAAGCTCTTTAGATAAGCTTTTGTTGGCGTAACTTTATTAAGAGAACTGCTACAGTAAGTCTGTGATTAGCTGAAAAAAAAAAGCCTAAGATACATAAAATACTACAAAATTGGAATCATGTACCTGATGATGTATTATTAGGTCAAGATGATTTTAATTTGGTAGTGAAATTTTGTGCATTCTCATCACATGGCTGTAACTATGATGCAGTGGTCCCCATTACAAAGTTTATTTCCTTATCTAAGTACTATAACTATTGCTATTCGCTGACTTTTGGTGGGAATCACTGTAGTTAGTGCTGAATTAAATGTAGACCGTAGTTGTCTTGTTCAGCTCAACAGTTCTGTCAAAAAACTTTAATAAAGACTTAAGTAATATGCTAAAGAATGGTAAAGTAAAATGGCTCTGCTAAAGAAAACTTCAAAATAGGGAGATAATCTCAGCAATTGAATTGGCTTTAAGAATGTTATGGCAATCGATAGTTTAAATATTTAAATAGAAATTTAGCATATAATTTACTTTGTGAGGTTTTAAGGGTCATTGTCCTTTAGTTAAAGGTTCTACCTTAAGTTACATGGGATTTGCTAATGGGAGGATTATTAGTTGGAAAAAATAGTCCACAAGTGACTTGTAGAAAATAAGTATTGTCATTTAGTTCATTCATTTCATCCTTTTCAGTTGCAGGAAGCCACCCAACCACAGAACACTCGTATGCCAGTGGTACTTAGTACCTCTTGTATATAGGTTATTGCAAATATTGTTCTGAAATGCTTAACTTCAGAATTACATTTTTTAAAGTAAATAATTGTTTTAAATCTATTTTGTAAAGATATAAAAATACAATAGAATTTCTGGAGTACAGATTAAACTATTTGCACTAACACACGTGATGTGCATGATTTAATAAAATAACTTTACTCTCCCTATGCATGTTTGAGTTGAATGTCATTTAAAAACAAAAGATTCATGCTAAGTTTCTTTTGCGCTAGATATTGCCACAGTTACTAGACACAATGTTTGCAGCATGTCCAGTGATAGCAAAAGACTTTTTGTACCTTGTATTTCACATTTGCACTTGTTTTAAGTTTTTTGTCTAGCTGATCTCTCTCCTGGCAGTGGTTTCCAGAAAGAAAGGGGGGAGGAGAGAGCGATGAAAGGCTTGGGAGTGTTATTGCCATGGGGTGGAAAAAAAATGATAGTTCACAGCTGAAGGGTAAATTGTGCCTGTGGCAGGGCTTGTGAAACCGACGGAGCTGTGGCTGCAGATAGCGGAGCAATAGTGGAAAGCCCTTCTAGGGAGAAGGGAGCCTGATGCTGCCTCCTCTCTTCTTTGGCATCTTGAATTCCCTATTTGTCCCTCTTTCAGCTACTGTTTCTTTGCAGTTGATTCTGTTCCCTCCTCCCTGCCAGTAGCATGTAGACATGGTGTGAGGAGGTGGAGTGGAGCCTGGTGGAGCAGTGGTCCCTCCTGGCTGGCAGCGAGGAAGCTGCTGAGCTCCCTGGGACCAACCTCAGGGTGGTAGGTCCCCCATGCTGAGCAATGCTGCCTGTGACATGTTTGTTTTTGCATTAAGGACAAACGTGTTTTCAGAAGAGCATCAAAGAGCTGAAATTTGAGACCCAACAAGGCTGTATGAAAGGAGAAAGATTTCTAGTTTAATTATGTGCATGTGTGCATATTTATATTGTATACACAGGTGCATAGTACACATTGCATGGGGGTTGGTGCTTACAAGTATACCTGTGGTTCCCTAATGCAGTGCCTTTCCCAGGAGTCCTTGATGTTTGCATGTTCAGAATGATCAAGAATGAGCTGAAATGCATAGTTCACTCCTTCGTTGAGAACCCTGGAGGAGGATTGGATAACTGGGAAGTTGCTGTTCTTCAGTGCTTTCATACTAAAGCAGCAAGTGGAGTTATTTTGCAAGCACTCTATGCACGAACTTCTCTGTTTTTTGTTGCGTTTGTTTATAGTAAATGTATGTGTTCTTTTACCTTCATATTTAGGTGCTTTCTTTTTAGTTGTGAGGCTTGATTAGCTTAGCCTTGGAGTTACTGTTATCAAGCAGCTTTTCACAAACGTGTAAGATGCTGTAAGTCTACTTTTAAAATAAGTGCTCTGAGCTTGCACTGCAATTTGAGGTTTTAAAAAGGTTCCTCAATACTAGAAAAATTAGTCTGAGAGTTGTTTTGCCAGTTGATAGTTTAATTTGGAAGATTTTAATATAATAAAATATCTGAACACTTCTTCAGTTTTATCCTGATGTCCTGACAGAGGAACCTTTTTTTAAAATTCTAAAAGAATTCTACCTATGTAGGGACTACAACAGCAGACCTTTTATTTAAAAATATAAATATACAATATATAAAAAATATAGTGTAATTCCATGTAGCTGAATTAAATGCATTCTTCCAGAGTCTTAGCCTGATCCTTCTTGCAGAATCTCTGGATTTCTTTTGGTGCTAAATGGAGAATTGTGATCCTGCACAATATATTGCAAAGTTTTCTCATGAAACAGTCTTAGCGAGACTTAGTATCAAATGACTGACGGCTGAAGCAAAGGTAATCATCCGTGCATGTATTTTGGGGGTATATTCTTAAGCTATTTTTCTTTTTCTAATCAAATCTTCTGATGTATGTTACCTGTTCAAATTTTTAGCGTGCTTTACATGAGATTTTGAATGTCTCCTGCCTTAATCTGTAGGGTTCTACCACTTGCAAGAACCATTTCTTCAGCTTGAATCTTCTTCATGACAAATCCACTGCCAAGATTCATTCCACCAGCATCTGAGTGCTTTAAAACACCAGGTCACCACAAGGCTTTTGGGAAGCCACTGTAGTTCACACGAGCTCTGCAACTGGGGCTGGATGTTTTCCACCAGGGGCCTTTTTTTTTCCCCTCTGGTTTTTCATCCACCATTAGCGTTTCATTAGCAATCAACTCAAGACTTTGGGCCTGCATTAATACAGCAGTTGGTCATATGAAAGAGTCAGAAGCCATATTCTTTCCCTCTGTCTCTCAAGCATATACCTCTGGATCTGAAGGGTGATTGCTCCCAGCAAACAGCCACGTTGAATTCTCCAGATCCAACTGATTTACCCATCCCAGTCCCTCTTTGTGTGTGCTTCTGGACACAGAATTCCTTTCTTTCTCCTCTGGTGGTCTGCGTCTCCCAGTTTTTCCTGCCTTCCTGGATTTTTAGATTCTGCCAACTTGTTCAAATTAGTACGTAAAGGTTTGCTCACAGAGCCAGGTTCTTCCGCTTGGAAAGAGGATTGCACCCGCAACTTCCTTAAAAGGTGGGTGCTACCGATATTGGACTAAAGGTTCCCAGAAGTAGAAGGCAAATTAGCAATTGAAACAAAGGTTTCAGTAGCAAGGACCATCAGAGGCTTACGTTTCCATTTGTTAGTAAATGTAGAGGGAACTCATATCTGATTGCTCTATCACAGTCTTCACAGACTGATTTCAACACCAGAAGCATAATGTCAAGAAAGCATGTGTTTAAGAAAAAGAAGTCTTGCTTTAAGAACTTCAGAGAAAGAATCAGTCACTTCTGTAAGTTACTTGAGCAACTCATGTCCTCTTAAAAAAAAAAAAACAAACCAAACAAACAAACAAAAAAAACCACACAAAAAACTAAAACACACAAACCCAAAACCCAACCCTGTGTTGGAGTTCCATCTTACCTTGGCTGCCAACCATTGGATTTCATTGTATCTCTCTTGGAAGATGTTTTACTGCTGCAAATGTCCTGATCCAGGGATTTGACATACCATGATCAAAATACCTTCCAATCTTACTTTATATGAATGGATTTAATGTCTTAATTTTTTTTCTTCATCCCTCTAGTTTTTGTTGTCGGTTTTTTAAACTATTTCTAATTTTTCTGAACGTTCTTTTTTGGAGAGTAGATGCCAGAACAGAGTATGTTCGTGCAGTAATGACCTTACTAACATCATATTAATAGATAATAGACTTTATGTCCTGCTCTGCTATTCTTACTTGGCTGTCTACCGGTACCCTTCTGGGGATTCACTGACTCCTGACATTTGGATTTTAATCTTGCGAATCCAATCTGTGCATTCCTTGCATCACCCAGCCCCCTAGAATCTAACTTAGCAATATTGTTCAGTAAAAACCACTGTAGGCAAGCAGTCCAAGGCAGCAACCTGTCCCCATTACTGTTCAGCACTTCATCAATGTTGGGGTTTTTTTTCCCCTTCAGGTTTTAACAGGGATGGGTACTGAAGCTTTTCTAGATTATT